TTATTAAATATTATATATTGTTAAAAAATTTAAATTATTAAAATTTAACAAATATTTATTTTTACTAAAATATAATATTGAAATGTCAATTTTTAAATATATTAAAAAAATATTTTGACAATTCTATCGTTAATAGATATCATAAATTTAATTTAAATAAGAAAATATAAATGCATAAAGAGATGAATGTAAATAAATATTAGAACATAAAATTTAAAATTCGAGTACTCAATATATTTCATTTACTTGATATTTTCATTTCATCCAAGTGACAAACTTACAAGAAGATAGAAAGCAAAATCTATTGATTGAATGGCTCCTCCCCCGAGCTAGTTTGTTATTCCCCGTTCTAAAATCTAATCTCGAATAACCAAAATTAATCACCCAACTATATGTAACTATCTAATTGATCTTCTAACTTTTAATATGTATAATACTCTCCTTGTTAAGAACCAACATTAACTTGTGTCCAAGTGGCAGATTACAAATTCTTTTCGGTAGGATAATATAATCTATAATATTTTTACATAATAAATGCTATAAACTTCTAAAAAAAATACATTCTCTCAAAAAGATAAAAAGAAATCCAAAATACCTATAGGAGCGACATTTTTTTTTATGGAAGCAAATTATTATTTTTTATTTATTAAATATATACAGGTAAAAAAAATGTAGGGGCAATTGTCCTCATTCACATACACGTGGCTTGTGTCAATATTATTGAAATCAATACAGGTTTAATTTAAATTATGTTTTGGGCAAGTTTATGTGAGTGAAAGGAAGAAGGATAGAGTTTAATCGAAATAAATGGGCATAAATTATAATGTCTTTTTTTTTTCCCTTCCATTCTCTCCGGTCTTCATTGTGGTAGGAAGAATTTTTTTGAGTAAAAATTATGTTTAAAATCTTCCTTAAAATTGAACTTTCTTGCTAAATAAAATAGGATTTATTATTTTTTTTCTTCACTTTCTTCCCCCGTCTTTCATTTTTTCTCTTTGTTCTTAAGAACCAAACAAAGTGTAAATATGTATATCTATTCTCAATATTGTTAATTCTCAAGAATACAAAATTTTGTACTTGACTTAAATTTTTGTTTTAATGGTTAAATACTTAAATGTAGACATCTTACATACTCATAAAAAAATGAAAATTACTTTTTACAATACTTATCTATTTGATGTGTTTTTTAAGGTATAATATTTATATTTAGAAATCAATTCTAAAGAATATTAGAGCTAAAATTATTATTCTCATAAACATGTTTTTGTTGACATGTGTTTAGTAATTAAAAAATATTTAATAAAAAAATTGAAAAATAGAAGTAGAGAATGAATAACCTAATTTGTAATCACATAGTATTAGAAATAAAACTTTTTATTTTAAATTTATACTTATAAAAGCACTAGAAATATTAGGGAGACATGAATAAACTTAGACAACATAATACCTATACTGATATTGTAGTAGGTAATTATTATACTAAACCCTAAAGTAATGAGTAAAAAACTGGTAAATCTAGGAGCAATGACCCTTGGCAGTCGTGACAGATAATATCGATGGCATCAAAACTAGCGTAGTAGTATTTGTTTTTGGTATTTGGTATGAATATATGTTTCATTTTTTATGTTATTAACTTATCCCAACCCGTGCAAACCGCAAACTGCAAACTGCAAACACAGGTAAGGTAATCCAACCACGCGACATAAATTCACATGCCCATCCATCCCAGTGAGTCAAACCATCTGACGCTTCACAATCATTCTCCCACTCCCATCATAAGCTGCGCCTACATCATACACACATGTTCTCTATCACACTGCACCCACTTTCCTCTACTCCACGTGTTCCGCACCAATTGGCGGTGCCCATCACGTGTCCGCATTATTCCCCATTCCCAAAAACCCACCCGACCCGATCCCGGTCAAGGCCCGTTTTTATTCAGTCAAGCCCGCTTCGCATCGGGCTCCGAAAACCAAACCAGCGTCCTCTCTCCACGTGGCGAACGCGTACTGGAGAACCCACTGGAATCCAAAGATGCTTTCTCGTTTATATAACAACCTCGACGGTTTCCACTTCGCTGCTCACACTTCACACTTCACACTTCACACTTCACATTTCAGTTTCACACTTCTCACACCTCGCAGGGCCAGAGTGGGGAATAAAATAATAATAATGGCGCCAAACGCTCTCTACTCTGTCCTTGCCCTGATCCTCCTTCTCCTCCGCCCTACCGCCGCCGGCCACGACTACCGCGACGCCCTCCGCAAAAGCATTCTCTTCTTCGAAGGCCAGCGCTCCGGAAAACTCCCCGCCGACCAGCGCCTCCACTGGCGCCGCGACTCCGCATTGCACGACGGCGCCACTGCCGGAGTAAGTACACTACGAGTTTTTATTTATTTATTTTATTTCTCAATGTAGATAGAACACTAGAGGTACATTGTGTTGGTTGTTCAGGTGGACTTGAGTGGCGGGTACTACGACGCCGGGGACAACATTAAGTTTGGGTTCCCGATGGCGTTCACAACGACGATGCTTTCGTGGAGTGTGATCGACTTCGAGAGGAGCATGGGGCCGGAGCTGGGGAATGCGCTGAAGGCGGTGCGGTGGGGGACGGATTATTTGATGAAGGCGACGGCGAAGATTGGGTCCGGCGTGGTGTTCGTGCAGGTTGGCGACCCTTTCTCTGACCATAACTGCTGGGAGAGACCCGAGGACATGGACACGCTGCGCACCGTTTTCAAGATCGATGGGTCCCACCCTGGCTCTGACGTGGCAGGTGAACCCGCCGCTGCACTTGCCGCTGCCTCCATCGTCTTCAGATCACGTGACCCCTCATACTCTTCCATGCTCCTCAATCGTGCCGTTGCGGTGCGTCACTATCACATTCACCTCCTCCCTTTCTTTTTTCTTTTTTCTTTTTTTTTTATAATTAAAAATAAAAACAGTTACAAAGGTTGAAAAGTTAAAAGACGGAACTGTGGTAAGTTTGAAAAGCGAAACTCCACTCCACACTCCACACTCCACATTCCACACTCCACACTCCACACTCTACACTCACGAGAGACATGAAATAAAAGCACTTTACCGGGAATTGAATTTCTTCTTTTCTTTTCTTTATGTTCCGTTAAAATATCGCGAGAAAATGACCGTTGGTTTGGGTGAGGGTGCAGGTGTTCCAGTTTGCTGACAAACATCGTGGTGCATACAGTAACAGCCTGCGGCGTGCAGTGTGCCCATTTTACTGTGATAACAATGGTTACCAGGTAGGATAGGTATTATGTATGTGATGTGAGGCTATGGCTATGAGTTAGAAAGCAAAATCTCGAATATTGGCTGTTGGATTCGATTACTTTTTGAGATTAATATTAATCGGTTAAAAAGTAACTTTATGGGATGGTGATGTTATTGTTAGGACGAGCTGCTGTGGGCTGCTGCGTGGTTGCACAAGGCCTCACGTAGGCGACAGTACAGAGAATACATTGTGAGGAACGAGGTGGTGTTGAGAGCTGGGGACACCATTAATGAGTTTGGTTGGGATAACAAGCATGCAGGAATTAATGTCCTCATTTCCAAGGTACTATACTTCTACATAACATTAACACTGCTATACTATACTATAGGACTACCCATTTTATCATGCTTACTTTTTAAATTCATTCCAATTTTGGTTGATTAATTAATTACCTAGCGTGTATTTTTTATTTTTTTTATTTATAAATACTATGATTGTTGAATTGAAGTTTTCCGTTATATTTTATTATTGCCATGTTTGTGTCATTGTGTGTGCGCTCATATCCAAATTGGTTTGTCTTTTTATGGGTTGTTTTTGTTCGTCTTGTCTTGCGTCCCCCGTTGAGCATGTGGGGGCGCAGTGTGACACTGCTCATTCATTCAATCTAGATGCAGAATATAGAGATAAAGTTTTTGCATCACGTGGTCTGTGGAATGTGATTTACTTTTGTCTACTTCGGACACTCGTAACTCATTCCTATTGGCCCATTCCCAATCTCCACTTATCATATTATTAATCATCCATCATCACAAGCCCAACAGGGAATTTCAGATGATCAATACCATTATTTCCCCGCACTAACTTCACAAATGGTCAAGCTATTATATGAGTTAGATTTAACTAATCTAATTTATTTATTTATTTTATTTTACAACACGCATTCCTTTCATTTTAAAATTATATTCTCTTTTAAAGTTATTGTCAGTAACTAATGCACACCTTGATGTAGTTAGTTGATGTGATTTTGCATTAATTATCTGTATAATTTTAAGTGATGAATATGATTTGGGAAAAAATTCCCAGAACTTAAGTTTCTAAAATGAGAATAGTTGTCAAATAAAAGAAAAATATGAATAAAAGTTTGTAGTTTTAGAGAATGGAGAAGTATTTTACGGTTTTAAAATAGAAAGGAACATAATACTGTCTAGGGAAGTACAGAGTAGATGCTATACTATTTTTACATAGACTGATCATCCTGTTTCTTTCTTTCTTACTTAAAATGTTTCTTAAAAATGTAGTATTAAGTATAAAAGTGTGATATAATCCATCTTAAAGTATAAAAACTTGTAACAAACTTATGCGTTTTATAAGAAGCATTAGTGATTTCTAATAAGGTATAATTTTTTTTAAAATGGAATAAAATATTTTAAATTTGACTTTCTCTTATTGTGTCATATTAGGAATCTATGACATTGTGAATAAGGTTGTGTGCATATGTATGGTACAACTAGATAGGGAATGTGAGTACAGACTGGATTTAAAATAAGCTTTATCTCTTTATTTAAGAATATTTAAAAAAAAAAAAAAAAAAGTCAAGATAGGAATGAGAAAGGGGTTGTTGATGATTGCACATGATATGAATTACTTGTTTAAGTTTAATGTGGGCACCAGTTTTTGTTATTTCTTGAGGAGGGGACATTCCCTAATAATTGGAACTTGGATGCAAATCATGGCACTGGATTTTTTATGACATTGATATACAAGGGGGCAAATTTGTCTTTAAAATAAACGGGATTAGATTTTAGAATTAGGGTGGTGTAGGATGTCTTGTCTCTGCAATGAGAACCAAATTGGATGGCCAGAATCATTGCCCACCATATCGTAAACATTTGGAACCAAAAGTCTACCTCTTTAATTATTTTCATCCTTTTAGATCTGGCAAATGGATGGGTCCCAGCACTGCTCCATGCATGTGCACCATACCATTATTTTCTGCACAATTGCTTTACTTTCCCGCATCCATCGACTCTGTGACTTCTTATTTTAGCTCTCATCGCTATCATATTTCTCCCATTCTTTTCTTGTAACTGACCATTCTGGTACATAATTTTTTATTAACCTATCCGCAGGCTGCTATCACTGTTTTGTGACCGTGAACGCACATTGTACACTGGGTTTTGCCATTGTACATCATATATGTATATATATACTCACACTAATGCATAACTTAAAAATAATTATACTAACACTAAAATTTTATTTTTTTCAGGAGGTGTTAATGGGAAGAGCAAACTATTTTGCATCGTTCAAACAAAACGCCGATGGATTTATTTGTTCGACGTTGCCTGGAATTTCACACCCTCAAGTTCAATATTCCCCAGGTAAATATTCCCTTACCTTTTGACTTTTTTGTTTTAATTTTGAGAAAAGTGATGCTGGCGTGATTATACTAACATTGGTTATGATTAATGAGACCCATCCAAAGCCATTAATTATGTAAGGAAAAAGCCTTTGATTGTGTGCATTGGTATTATTACAGTAACTGTTTTATCCTTTTGTAACTCAACCTTCTCTTTTGTTGGTTAATCCAAAAGGTGGGCTTATCTTCAAGGCTGGTGGAAGTAACATGCAGCACGTAACGTCCCTATCTTTCCTGCTCCTAGCTTATTCTAACTACCTAAGCCACGCCAATAAGGTCGTGCCATGTGGCGGCACTACTGCCACCCCTGCTTTGCTCAAACGCCTTGCTAAACGCCAGGTGAGAATAGCATTTTTTTAAAGTAACCATAGTCCATCACCGTCGATTAAGGCCCACTTTCTAGTTTTCTACATCTGACAAAATTAACGGCTAGATTTTGTCCTTTTTGATATTTGAGTAAATTGACGTCATCACGTGATATGCTCAAAACAGCACTGGTACTATGGTTTGCATTTTGCAAGGGTAATGTTACTTATAATAATGTGACTGCACGTGGCTTCCATTTACTAGGTCGACTACATTCTTGGCGATAACCCATTGGGAATGTCGTACATGGTTGGATATGGCGCACGCTACCCGCTGAGGATACACCACCGGGCCAGCTCGCTTCCCTCAGTGGCGGCCCACCCGGCCCGCATTGGCTGTAAAGCTGGTTCTCGCTATTTCTTTAGCCCAAACCCCAACCCGAATGTGTTGGTTGGGGCCGTCGTGGGTGGGCCCTCCAATAACACAGATTCCTTCCCTGATTCCAGGCCTTTCTTTCAGCAATCTGAGCCCACTACATATATAAATGCCCCGCTCGTGGGCCTTCTCGCTTTCTTTTCAGCCCACTATTAACTTTGCAAATGTATCTATGATTTCCATTTCCATGTGGTGCGCAAAATGGTCACCCTACATTGCTCCTAAGGGAAAAAAAATCAAAATTGAGAAAAATGGAGAAGAGTGTCAGTAATAGTATTATGGTTTGTGGTGGTTTTCTTTTCGCAAGTGAAGTGATAGTGCAATTTGTATACAATAGGATTTTATGTAATGGGGCAATTCTATTAAATGGAAAGTTTATGGTCTACAGAAGATGGATTATTTCGATTTTTCACCACCAAAATGCATTAAGAATTCACGTCGTAATTTTACAATTAACAATTAAATCCTTAAACTATATGGGAATTAATAATTATTAAAAAATCAGTATCTTGAGTATATATGATTACGAAGTAAAACATAAAAACGGACTTAGTTGATCTTATAAAAGAAAATTAGCTAAATTCTAGTATTATTATAATTTCTAAATACTGATGGAAAAATGCAAAAACTAAAAATAAAAATTGGGGACTAAAAGGAGAACTATATATTAACATCAACGTTTGAAACCATACAATTTAACTAGTGTCAGTTGGAAAATATTTTAAGCATGTCCGTGGAGGTGCTTATTCTCTCATACACACGTGTGTCTATATATATATATATAAATAAAATTGGTTGAAGTAATTTTTTTTTTATATTCTATATTAGCACTACCACTAGACATGAGATGTACTTTTTATCAAATAATAAAAAGTTAATAGTAATTATTTTTTATAGAATGTAAGAACGTGTGATTATTTTTCTGTTAAATAGAGAGATGAATTCCTTAAATTATAAAAATAAAATTAAGTAATTTGTAATATTTTGGGTGAACCATAGTATCTCCTAATGGAAATTCAACAAATATTTTTCTATATATAAACATCAAAAATCAAATTTCTTATCACATGTTTGAAGGAGAAAATTATTTGTCAATCGTGTTACACATTGTAATACTAAAACCTATTTATTATTTTATCGAAAAGTACTTATTTATTATTATTGTTGTTGTTAAGCAGCGTGACTTTTTGGTTTTAAGATTTGAAGCCCATTTAGTATTTTGGGCCTACGACTTACAGCTGACCGCTGTATCCTGGTTTGCCTTTCCTGCAAGACACAGCCACCTTTTTTAATAATATTTCTTTTTTATTAAAAAGTTCAAAATGAATTGTTAAAAGAATTATTCCAAAATAAAGTAAATGAATGGAAGCACGCATGTTTTTTTTTTTTTTTTTTTTTTTGTGTTTTTTAGCTGGTTGTTTTATTGCATACTTTACTTTATCTTTTAGGAGAATTATTTAAGCCTAGGCTTTCTAAAGTAGCATTTGTCTGTTTTAAGCTAAATTCAAATTTCTTAAAATAGAACCTTATCATGTATTTTTAGGAAATTTCTTAAAAGAAATAAAAGTGGAAGATTTTGATGCGTAAGTGTTATAAACACATCCCAATGTGATTTCAAACGCACTTCTATGGTAAATTTTAATAAAAAGTTATTTACATACTAATTTATTTACAGATAACTTTAGGACATTTATTGGTAAGATTGACTTGAATAAGCTAAGTTTATTATTTTCTCTCTCTTTAACTTTGCTTGTTTGATCTCTTAAATGGTTGTTTTTTGTTTGTGAACATGAAATTAATTTGTTGTTACATAAATACCATGTTAAAATTTAATTAATTATAGTTAATGAACTTATACTTGTTTATTTTAAAAAAAATTTAACTTTAAGTTTATAAAATGTCATTATGTTAGCGATGTTTAATTTTAAAAGTTAAATTATTCTATTGAGCTCTTATAATATCAAATTCGTATTTTTTTTTAATTTAATGATTTTAATTTTAATTTTAAAAAATATGCAATTTTTATTCATTCTTTTAATTTTCATTCTTTGATCATTAAAATTATAATGTTAGTTATGATTTAACACTACATATATGGCAATGATTAATATTTAATAATACTGAAAGTAAATTTTACTTTTAATTCTTATTTTTATTTTATATAAATGGTAAAATAATATAAAAATTGAAAGTGTAATTATGTTAGAATATTATCGAAAATCTCAAACTTGCAATTTTATAATTTAGTGTTGACTTTTTTATTTACATGCTTTCTTGATTTGTAAATATTTTTGTTTCATTATTTCACTTTTTCTTATTTTGACCGTAAATATTTTGATTTCATTTTTAAATTTATTTTATTTTATATATTATACTTTTAATTTTTTATCTTATTTATTAGATTTATTTTTATTTTTTAAAGTGATCATTTTGATCATTTATTTCTTAAAATTTGAGTCAATTTAATCTTTTCGAAATAATAATTATTTCTTATTTTGAGACATAATTTTGATTTTTTTTTATTTCATTCAAGATTTAAATCTTATCTCATTAGATCTATTTATGTGAAAACTGTTAAAAACAATTGAAGTTCAAATAAAAAAGTGTAATAAACATGATAAAAATTATAGAAAAATAAATTCAAAAAAATAATTAAAAAATAAAAAAATCTAATTTCATACAATTTTTTAATTGCTCGTAAGATATATTTTTACAAAAATTTTCACTATATTTAATTATAACCTTTTTGATTTGAACACCAATTAAATTTTATAGTATTTATATAGGTAATATGTTATAATTAATTTTCACATCTTGAATTAGTCATAAATTGATTCAAAATAATGTTGTAAAATTTTTAAAAATATTATTATCTTAAAAAGATCAAATAAATCTAAATATAAAAAATAAAAATTGAAATGAATATTATTTTGACATATAAAGAATTAAAATGAATATGAAATATAAGGTAAAGAAAAAAGAATATAATTTAGCATTTTTTTTTTGAGAAATTTTAGATTCTTACCTTATTTGCCTTAGCTTATTATTTTAATTTTTGAAGGACAAGTTTTGATGTGCTTTGATTTTGAATTTGATGCAACATTACTATATAGTGAAATTTAATTAATTTATTATTTTTATAATTTTGTTTATATAAGTAGTCCTTAAACTTTTTTTTCTGCTTTTATATATATATCATTAGTTGGGCCAATTTTTATATGAATAAAATGATATTTTTAATTGCGACTTTATGTTTAAAATGAAGATTGAATCTTGATTCTTGGTCAAAAAGTACGTATCAAACTTATTAATCTGACGAATTTTAGTTGTTAGAACTTTTATTATCCGTGTTAGTTTTTATAATTTAAAGAAATTAGAATTTTTACTTATGAGCATGCTTTTTTAATAAAAAAAAAAATATTTTTAAAAAATTTAAAAATACTCTCTTAATTATAAGCATGAATATTGATATTTATAAGATGGGAGTAGATTTAAAAAATTTGTCAATCAAAGAAAATTCATTAATGAAGTAAAAGGCATAAAGTGAGAAATAAAGGTGTGTTTGGTAATTGCCATAGTTTGTAGAGAAAAGAAGATCGAGCACATTGCACTTTTATTTATTTCATTGTTTGACATAATTGAGCAGCATATACAGATACCCAATACAATATCACCAAAAAAAGAAGATAGGAAGTAGAGTTTATTTAGCATGTTGATGGCTTAAATGCTTAATCAACGGTTCATGATTCCTACCCCTGCCGGAGCCTCCATCACACCGGGGGTACCCAATTCCACATTCTTATGCCAACCTATATATATGTATAATCCAGATCATGATTTGTGGATTCATAAAAGTATATACAGAATATGAATGTGAATCAGTAGTTACCAGAAGAGACATGGAATCCACGAGCTTGAAGCTCACGATACTCTTGGCAAATGGACAAGGAGACGCAGCAACAACTGACGACACAATCACAACATTGGTTCCCTTCAATCCCATACAACCTCCTTATTTTCGTACGATAAAGACACGCGTAGATCGACGCAACATTTGTGAAACCACCAAGGAGGCAGAAAAGGATCCCATGTACACAACAAGCTGCCATATATATATATATATATATATGCATTATTCCTTAAATATTCATTCTCAATAATCAATAATCAATAATCAATAATCTAATAACTATATATATATGCACTTACTCGTTGTTCCTTTATCAACGATCTCAGCTATCCTTCCGAACGAAATGCATGGGCACCACAACGTCAGGCAAACTGATATATCATCCATCAACAAAATTCAATTAATTACATGCATGCATGTTCATGTATATGCATGGAAATAAACAATTAACTATATAATTATAATATAATAAGACATAAGTATATATACAAGCGCCATATTCATCAGCACAGCAGTTGCACAACCCACTCGACCATTCATGTCCATCACCACCCATCTTAGGACTTACCACTTACCACTCTCTCATATCATTTCTCTGCCTCAATCCATCTTTATTTATAAACCAACAGTAACGCGCTTACTATCAAACTTATTTTCTTCTTATTCACTAATGCTTATTACTTTCTCTATCCTTCTAATTACTAAATACCCTATACATTCTATATTTTTCTTTCACTAATTAGGATACCATTAAACATTTCTCATCTTCTCATACTCGTTTACTATGCAATTCATTTATGACAATATCCAACATTCTTTTCTATTCCATCTATCTTTTCAAACATAAATATTTAATGTTTTTCTATTTGTAAGTAATTAGCCAAATTATCGTATGAAAATGGTAAAAGTGTTGAAGGTGGGATTTGAATCTAGAGCCCTTTCTTTTGCACTTCACATCAAGTCATTTAATTAACTTGTTTAGTTTATACGTATATTTTGTTAATTGCACGTTTTATCCTCTAGGTGTATGTTTATTAATGTTGCAACTGAAGTCCTCACTTGTGCTTTATTTTAGGGAAAATATTGAAAAAATATATATATGTATAAAATATAAAATCAAGGATAGTTCTAAGAACCAATTACGCGTAGAAAAATATTAGCAGTCTACAATATTTATTAATAACGATACTTTCAATTAGTTATGCAAAACTATATACAACTTGGTAAATACTTATTTTTTTTAATAATTTTTTTGATTTTTTGATTATTATTTTTAGTATTTTTAAAGATAAGAAAATATTTATTATTTTTATTTTACTTTAAAGTAAAGCGACTTTTAAATTGAAATTTTAAAAAATATTTTTTGAAAGGATTTTTATCTTTATCTTTATGGTAAAAAATCCTTGAAAATATATTTTTATTTATGAAAAAGGAAAATGTTTATAAATCAAAGGGTTTCTTTTACTTTTGTTTTTTAATTTAAAAGACCATATCATTATACAAAGTTTAAGTTAACAAATGACTAATAGTAAATTTTATATTATCAATTAATCAGTGAACCTTACAGCATTTATTGATTGTTACATATTTTGATAAGTGTTATTCTTTTTTTTTTTAACTAAAATTTTTAAAAACTTTTTATTTTAATCTACAATTACAAAAACTTCATTTTGATAACAACTCACTATTCCTAAACATTTATAAAATCAAATGACATAGACAAATCAAAATTTAGCCATTCTATAAAAGAAAAAAGGTATAAATAAAATTGAAATCAATTGAAACTTGAAATATTACAATTAAAATACCTATAAAATAAAAATGAAAGCCCAAGGTTTATTTTTGAACATCCATTTTTATTTTTTCAAACAAATAAACCATCACAAAAAAATATAATACTGCTCATATGATAATAAAAAGTAAAATGGAAAAAAAAAACCGGCAAATGAAAAAAAAGTCTAATCTAGAATACTATGAAGAAAAAGAAACAAAAAAGAAAAAAGAAATCCAATATAATAAATACCTTAATAAAATGAAAAGTATGAAAAAATTGAAAATGATTCTAATCTAATAAACTAGGAAAATCTAATCTATTCTAATATTATTTGTTTTAAAAAAAAACTAGGATAAAAGTATTAATAAATAATCAATAAATCTAATATATATACCATATGCCTGACGCATGGTTGTTCTAAGCAAATATAGATGAAGCAAATCGATAAGGTTAAATTAATATATAGGTTCTTACTCTTTTTGTCAAATTTTTTAATTAGGTATATATAATTAAAAATATTTTTATAAAGTTTACAAAAATTTTAATTAAGTCTTACTCACTAATATAATTTTATTGGTGTATGATGATCAGATATCGTGGCACGACAATTACTTCTTAATATGATAATTAATTATATTATTTTTATTTATTTTAAATATTTATATTAAATTCCTAATTTTAACATGTTAATTACACTAAAATTTAGAATTCATTCTATATTTAAATTTAAACTATATATCAGTTTTTAAACTGTTGATATATATTTTTTAAATTACACTTTTAATATTCTATTTTTGTTAATTTTTAATTTTATTCTCTCTATTTTAAAATAAAAATATTTAATTTTTTTTATTTTAAAAATATAAAATTTTAATCTAATATTTTTAAATTTTAACGCTATTTGATAATTTGTTATTATTTAAATAATGTGATATTTAATAATATGATATATGAATATAAATTTTTTAAAAGTGTATCTATTATAAAGAGTAATTATTATTTATTTTATTAATAAATCTTATTTGTATGTGTTATTTTTTTTTATCTCATTAAATGTCACAGCACATCACTTAATTGTAAATAAATATTAAAACTTAATAATTAAATTTTTTTAACTTGATGAGAAAATCAAAATTTTAAAATTTTAAAATTAAAAAATAAATATTTTTATTTTAAAATGGAGGGACAAAAATTAGCTATTTAAAAATAAAAAGATCAAAAATATAATTTAATTTTTTTAAAAATTTATATA